CAGCCAAACCCCAGAATGAAATTCTGTTTTTACTTTTAAATTGTGGAATGCTAGTAATGAAATAAAGAAACAACTGGTACACACTGTCCTACATTGCTTGTCAGAGGTATTTAGATTGTAGTTTAAACTGTATTTTCAGTCACATGAAACATATGTAAATAAATTTAAAAAAATTTAAGGTGTATCTAGGGTGTTGAAAGAAAGTACGGATCTTTCATTGAAGGTCAATACTCTATACTCATGGGTGCATAATCACGATTCTCTATCTTGCAGGAATTTTTTCGCAGACTTTCCAATGTCTATTCTGATTCTAACAACACTCAACATAGGTATACCATGTTACAATAATGTTATTTTTGCAAAACAATATTTGCAATGAACATACGTGAGGATAACTTTTAATCTAGAACTTCTTATGCCTTTCATCAAAAACATCACGACACTACAAAGTTATAAAGGTTTTATCATCAAATAACAAAATAAATAATCAAATGCAGGTTTATATCCTTGTGAATTGACGGAATGAGAACTACTTCATCATTTTCTTGACTTGCTTCTGACCACAGCTTTCTTCATGGCTTTCCCTTCTCTTCTTTGCTCCAGTAAGTCTTTCACTGCAGTACCGACACTCAAAATGGGTGCCAGATTCTGAGGACCTTTTTCTGAAACCAGCCTCCACCAAGGCAGACAGCTTCACTTCATCACTTTTGTGGACATTTCTGATGTGGTTCAACAGTGAAGTTTTGGCACCTTCACCACGATAGGCTACAGTGTGGCTGCAAGGTCCAGAGGGACACTGGTAACCATTCTTGATTTTTATGGTTTCTTTGTAAACCGGGGCCACACTGGCCTCCGGAACAGATGCTTTATAATCTGACCCTGCTGCACACAGGTCGGGATAAAGCAGAGGGGCTATTGAACGCAGATGAACAGATATGCCTTGTGTATTTCCTATTGTCCAGGCACTAATGTGTTCCTGGTCTGCCCCTAGCTGCACCAGGGTGGATTTGATGTCAAAGAAGGAATTCATTGCTCTAAAAAGAAGTGATAAATCATTTCTCTGCTCTGACAATATATAGGCACATATTACATGAATGTTGTTATCAACTGAAAATTAAGAATAGGTACTCACGGGTGACATTTACATCTCTGGCTGGCCAGCATTCCAGGCAGCACCCAGGACTTAGACACAAAGTTCATAGCTTCATTTAAATTCAAACCTGCGTTTGCGCCCCAGTGAATTGTGTTCGGAAGTAGGTAAACGATATCTCCAGGTTTTTGGACAATCTGTTTAAAAAAAATGTTGAACATTACACTACCCAAATCACACATGAATTTTATACTATTAAGTCTTGTACAGCATTCAGTTTCATAACAAGATGTTTTAAATGCAATTACACTGAAACTCACAATAAAAACAGGAATACCAGCTTGAATTACCATGCGGTAATCCAACCAGAGCTGCTTGTGCTGCATGAAACACTTCAGGTTCTTGAACAATGACGCGATTGGGAGAGTTGTAATGAACTGAAGAAAAGCATTGTAAAATCTTGGTGGTATGAAGAACCTGTAGAAATAGATTGAAAGTGAAAGCATTATCAATTGAAATGAGCATTAATGAAAACAGACAAAAATTTGAGCGCTGGCCTATGCATGGGCTACCGTGTAGTTCACGCAGTCTCTGTTCATGATTTACAAGTATTATGTAAGAAACATGACAATTCCACGTACCAGACCTTGGCTTCACCATAAATGTGCCTATTAATGGCGCAGAATGAGAGGTCTTCTATATGGCAGTTAAACGTCGAATGTTCAAACCCAATATACACACTAGGTGAATTGATGCCATTGATCACCGAGCCACCGTTAAGGGACTGAAGATTGTGATTCATGGCAGCCATTGACACACCTTTGGTGGTCCCAAGTGAGGCCGGGAGACTCACATTTTGAATGTACATTATGGCAGAGCTTTTGTCTTCTAGCCTAATCAACAACTTATCTAGAAAGACATCAATATCTTCTGCCTCATCCCTGTAACAACGCATGAAATCCGTTAGTGAGTTGAGTGAAATTCATGAAAATTTTGTACGTTACAGAATACCTGTAAATCGTTAAGAAAAGTTAACATTTTTGGAGGCATGAATCAGTACTCACAGAGAGGTTCCCTGAACATCCTGAGAGTTCGAATGAAGAATTTCCTTCTGCGCAGTTCGCTGCAGCCTGGCAAGTTTTAATCTGTCCTTTTCAGTCACAGTGGTGCCATGTAGAGGGTCAATGTAAAAAACAGTTTTCTCTATGACAGTCTGCCTTTTCAGCCAGTCAGGGTGAAATAGGTCCAGGCTAACATCTTCTCTCAGCGCCACCTTCACCTGCTCCATATTGCTCTTGCCATCATCGGCCGTCCATGTAGTGAGCCTTCCCTGAATAACATAATAATAATAGTGAGAGGATATTTGAAGATGAAATTTGCAGAAAGTAAATGGCATAAGAACCTTTTTTCTTACAATAAATGCTCCTTCCTTTACAACAAGGTGCAGTACGCTGTCAAGGAGCTTGCCAGGGTTAAGGTACTCTTCCTCTGTGATGTCAAACACCATGACACCTCTGATCCTTTTCTCTTGGCGAACATCCATGACACTACTGCAATAGTTTTTTTTTTTAAATTAATAATGTGGAGTAAAGTCTCAAATGAACAAAAGTATGTGAGTATTTTCGACACGAAAATTAAACAGTGAGATCGTACGTAACCTAACCTCAGGTAACCTATTCGATGGAACGCTGTTTTTGTGGGCTTTCTTGTTACCCCTTGATTCTGCAGTAAGTCGTAAATGTGAATTTTTCACCTCTTATATATTAACACTATGTAATTTAAGTATGATTTCTTCGTATGTAAACTGCTCGGATGCAGAATATACAAACAAAACTGGACAATCGAAAACAGAGCGGGAACGAAATGTCAGGTGGAGAACGCACGCATGGCTACTGGCTCTCTCACGGCATGATGGATACACCAAAGCATAAAAGAAGGCAGAAACGTGACAGATAATTAGAAACGAATTGTTTAACTTGATTGATTCTTTTTTCGTCCATATTTCTGTAAGTTCTCTGCATTGATGAAAGTGCCATTTAATCCTCAGTCAGATTGTGTACAGTTCATTCTCTGCCGAACAGCTTGGGCAGACCAAGTGACCAAGTGTTTGTGGAAGCAGTAAGAGTAACTTCGCAGCAAGTCACAAGTTGCAATTCTTGTGCAGCTGTCGCTAGATTTTACTGTAGATATTTTGGCATTGTAAATGGTAAATATCAGTACGTTAAATAATTTGACATCAGCAATCCATGTCACATACCATCATGTGCTGTTAGCAGGGATGATGAAGGATTATAACCTCTAAATTGTTTATGAAAGATAAATTTTTATCTGCTTCTTACTAAAGTATTTTCTAATAACAAAGTAACTGTTCTCATTAGGCTAACAGTGGACCTGACGGTCTCCTCTCTAAGTGGTGCCTGTCTCTGATGGAGAGTTCCTGTTCTGACTCTGAATTACCAGCGCTGCCTGAATTAGGCTTATCTGAAAGGTATTTTTCTTTCATCTTAAGTCACAGTTTTCTTAGTGAGTAAGGAATACTTGTTTTCTCAGTACAACTTATCCACAGTATCTCACTGTTGTTCATTCTCATCCCTTCCTAAACAGTGCACCGGATGTTTCTCTTCATCCAACAGCAAAGTCTCTCTCGGGTTTTATTTAAAGTTTGTGGAAGCCAAAATGAGATCTCAATCTACTCGTGACAGGAATGATGTTGTTTCCTGTCTAGCTTACGCAGCTGGCCTGTGTGTTACTAGGGAGTTCGTAACTGAGCTGCTGAAGGAGTTGCTGACAGAGGGAGTTTCACCACATCTGTCACAACACCACCATGCATCGGTTTGTCCCCCCTTCATGTACCACTTTAATATTAAGAACCTAGCCAGATTTATGATATGAGAAATTTTTTCTTTAATGATTCTTACAAATTACCGTTTGATTGCAGGACTGTCAGCAGCATAACGAATGTAGTAATGAAGGTGGCAACTACAACCTTCCCCTTGAAGGAACAGCACGTTCTGAAATAACTGTGGAGACAGTGAAGGTTGAAGTCAATGAAGATTCAGAAATGAAAGAAGAAACTGAAACTGTAGCTGCTGATGGCAAACGTATGGGAGTGGGTACAGCTTTACCGCATCGCAGGCATTTCTATTACCTGTCAAAGAATGTCCCACATACCTATGCCCTTTGTATGAGAGGGGTGAAATGCAAAATATGTGGCAACATTTTTAAAGGTATGACATGTGTTGATGATTTGTCGAACCATATTAAAAAGGCGCATAGGAAAAAAGCTACAGCAAGGTTCCTGAAACAAATACGTGAGGAAAATACGGTAGAACGCATTATTGGCCCTGGAATGACATGGTGTGAATGCTGTACATGCGACTTTCTCGCTAAGAGTCATGGCTGGATTCGATAATTACTTTTGCTAACGTGATTTATTCATTACTTTTTAAGTATCAGCAGGCAGGGGGTGTGATTTATTGAAATGGAGCAATGGTTTTTTTTTACCTTGATTTTGATCCCATAAACTTCCTCATGAAATGTGAATGTGCATAAGACATGCCATAATCCACGCAATATTGATTCAATTGCTTCTTAATTATTTATTCCGCTAATTGTAAAGTATTTGGCTGAAAACTGTATTTTAAGCTAAGAGCTGATTTAAAGTGACACCCGGACAGGTCTTGTACAAATCTGACTTGCTGAAAAACAGAATACTGGAAACTTGTTAGAAATAGAGTAGATGAATTGGAATACTTTATTGTACATATATATGCCTGCTGCTTTGTGCTTTGACCCCCTTTAAGGGAGGTGCTTAGATTTTGCTGTAACGAAATATATGAAACTTGCATAATACAGAGTATATGAAATGAAATTATTGTGGTATATATAGATTACAGCCAGCCATTGTGTGTTGACCTAGTTTTATTGAGGTGTACAATTCCAATTGAAAACTTGGTGCACCTGTCGTCTGTTCAAGGGATGAAATTCCTTAAAAGTTGTAGTACATTGTTTTTTCTGTACAGTCGGAGTAAATGGCTTCGCTAATAGCACAGCCAATAAATTCTCATCAACCTTGTCGCAGTGTTGTCTCCATCTGATCATGTTCTTCTAATGTCAATCGTGAAAAGCAGTTCTGTCGCTTATTGATGCCTTCATGATAAGTTCATTAATTATGAATATTTTAGGGAAATAAGAAAGGTGAAAATGTACAACCTTCCCAACTGTTGTCCAAAGTATTCCATCAAAATAAAGCACATAATACAAAGCAAATTTTCCTAGGTTGTTTCATTTTTAAATCTTTGTGATTCAACTATTATTAAAAAGGTGTCAAGAGAAGGAGGTTGTCTTTCTGATTCCTCATCTGCTTCTAAAATATTTCACATAAAAAACCTGTCAAGCTGCGCCTCCAGTTACTTACATTGACCATTGCTCCTCTAGATCAGCACACTTTGTGGACTTCTCATGCCAGTTGTACCGTTGCCTCACTCAGCATTTAAAGGGAAATGAACCTCGTTCTGTTCACAGTCACTACCCAAAATTCATTTTTCTATAACTTCCCTGTCAGGAGAGAACCATAGAAAACAGTTTCAAGGGTGACAGTTTAGACCTTAACTTAAATCTGTGCGAAATGGCAAAGCTTATTGTTCATATTCAGAGTCTTCAAAAGTCAGAAAGCTGCTAAGTTGAGCAATTTGCTAAAAGTCCGGTCCACTCCCTCCAATCCAAAATCTCTGTCGGTGAGTTAAGGAGAGGTTGTGGTATGGAAAGAAAGGGCAGTGTCCCCTGAGTATTTTGCCCGTGGAATGGTGGAGATTGGTCAACTGGTCTACTCACAATCACCTCATGTTGGAAATCCTACTTTGCTTGTCGCTGCTCTGCGTCAGACTGACTTGTAGTTTTAAAGTACTCGTACTGAAAAGAAGTGATAGTTTCTCTATAAATGAGTGTGGCCCCTCATTTTAAAGAGGAGTGTTTGTCATATTCAATAGCACAACTAAAAATTCTAAATCTAACGTGGGCTGGTAGTACAAATTTGAATTATAACTCTCATTTTGTAATTTTAGTAAAAGTTTCAACTTATTCACCCTCAAATCTCAAAGAAGGCTCCGGAGCAGCTCAGGTCTGTGTTGACCATGAGATGCAAAAATCTGATTTTATTGAAAATGGACATTTACTTCTGATTTATTGGAATGGATGGAAATCAACAAGTTATTCATTAATATAGAAAAAAACAATTACATAATTTTCAGGAAGAGGGCTGCCAAAACCTCAAATATTCCACTCTTCAAAGTTAGGAACCATGACATCCTGAGGACAAACACTGATAAATTTCCGGGTGTGGTAATTGATAAAAATCTCCAAAAATTTCAAATAAAATGTCACAGTATCTGATCAAGCTATTATTGGGAAAATAAGCATCATTGTATTTTTCCTTGCTTTAGCACTTAAAGGGGAGATGATTCCCTTGTAAAGAAAAATTTTTTGGATTTTTTTTTTTTTGGAACTTTCCCCCGATACAAAAATCAGTTTTGAGAGTCAAAGTTGAGACGGAAGGCTGAAAACTTAAATCAAGGTCCTAAGTACCCTAGTCTATTTGGGTACCAAGTTTCAGTGACATAAGTTGATGGGAAGTTTTATCCGAGCCCTTGTTTAAGCACTCAATACGCTTTGGGTTCTTCTGAAAACAAAGGTGCTCTAGGGATTCTCAATGGTCAGGAAAGCACCAATTGTTATAGAGAATAAAAAAACTAGAGGACAATATCCTTCTTTGGGCACCAAAATGATAAGGGAATCACAAAGAATTGGAAAAGGCATTTCAAGAAAAAAAAAATCTCTTCAATGTAAATTATTATGATGTAATATTTTAGAAAACAGTTGAGGAGGTATTAGCTAGTTCCCCAAATGACTTCCTTATGATATTCTGAGGTAAGAAAGACAATACAAGAGCATCCAGGCACATAACTGCTCTTAAAAGTTTACATAATCAGCATGGCATACTTTTTCAAAAATATACAGACTTGCTTATGTAACCTTAGGCCTGGACAGAGAACCATTTGCCCTATCTCAAAAGTAATTGATGATTTGGAAACGAGATTTGTGTGTACAGCTTGGAAAATGAAAAAAATTAAAATGTTCTGTGGCCTGAAGTCACTCAAGCAATGACTGCTGATGACAGAAAAATTTACTGTTGTGAGAACAATACTTTAATATTATGCATGAATTTCAGAATTTCTATTTTCCTACTTTCAGCTGTGTTTTCTGTTGACTCGTTTCTATACCTCTGTCTATTCTGTAATGAGTACATGTGTAATGTGACTGTGGAGTTCCTGCACACAAAGAATTAACACAGTTGACAAATGTTAATTTTTTAATTAAAATACAATACCGATATTTTTATGGCCAGTTATCTCCAAATTTCTTACAAATATTCACAATTTAATTTGGTTACACCACAATTTCAATATTCAGGCAAAGGCACTACAGAAAAGGCTACAACCACAAATCACTGCCCGAATGTCAATTTCTTTTTCAATAACGATAAGGGGAATACAAAACAGACCATAATGACGCTGTCCCAGTCAGGTCTGTCAAAGTTATCACTTAAAGTCCACTCGTACTGGTCTTTTATTCAAACTCGTCAGGATGGGTTTTCATCATACGTATCATGACAAATTTCTTATAACTAGGACCTTAAATAGCAATTACTGGTCACTCACAATCTCTGTCTACGACATTGCACTGGTGGTCACTGGTCTTCTCGAAATAGCATCCCTGCAGTCCTCACTCTCGGCTGCTAGCTCAAGTGCGTCTTGCATGATGTGCAGCTGTCGAGTAAAACGGAGGTTTTCAGTGCAGATCGAGGTATTGTATGCATGAAAGAAGGCCAATCAAGTTCACAAGAGAAAACAGCAAACAAAACTTAACTTACCCTAGCGTCAGATACAATCTCTACTGCAGTCCATTTGGGCATGTTCGTAACTCCCAAAGAGAGAAGTAATGGTGGGTCCACGAGTGCAACGTCCCGAATGGTCTTCAGGCCCATGCGCAGCATTTCCTTCGCCCGAGCCTTCCGACATAGATGCAGGAAAAAAGAGGGAAACTTGTTAAGTTGCATACTTTACCAATGCTCACAGCTGTTACAACTAATTATGTATGTTACCGGTGTGACATGGTTAAGCTGTAGCAACGGCCTGATCTCTTCGATTGCGGCGTCCTGAAGTTTCCGTGCAACCAATGAAGACATTCTTGGATACCACCAATACCTGTCCAATGCCTGAAATGGAGAGTTGCGACCAGGGCAGATGCCTAATTAGAGCCTACATGGACATATAAGAAAAAGAGAGGTATAGGTATAGGACTGTATATGTTCCCACCAGGCAGAAATTCGCCAAGTTGCCACACCGAGTTGCTAGGGAAGTGGACAGTTCCAACACTAGCCCACGGTCAAATCCATATGTAACACACACTTGTTCATAGTCATCAGGGCTGCAAATAAGGTCGTTCAGGAAAAGAGCCGACCACATTCTGGTCAATTTGTCCCCAAAGATGGGGTCGCTTCTGATTCGGGGGGCCACCCTTACCCACAGGTTCACTTTGTTCTCTTCCAATCCCACCATCTCAAAAATCTTCCTAGCGGGGTGCTCCGCGTATACTTTGGCAATCTGGAAAACGCAGAGATCTATCATGAGACTCTACGCAAACCGTGGAGTACATCATTTCACATAGGCACGATGTTATTACCTTGTCACCAATGAGGCTTGTAGCGTCATGCACTGCTCTAGTGGCCGTCGGAGGGTCTACAATTGGCCGACACATATCTTTGGTGAGCGAAATGTACAAAAAGATGAGGTAGTCCCTCAGACATAAACATTCCTGATATTCTTCGATCTCCGCTACGAACTCTGCAGCGTCATCCAGTGACAAAGAACCTGCGAATGGGAACAATCATGTAACAATATAACATCAAGTGCCAGTGTAACGATCCTTACATCCTTTACGCGTACCAGCTGCCGTCGCGACGGCAAATGCAGATAATCTTAATCCAAAGTCACAGGACTGCAGTTTCCCACCGGTGATCGCAGCATCAAAAGCCAGTTTCACTCCTTCTGTGTCATGGGACATGGACGGAATCCAGGCCTCCGGATCAGACACTCTGTGGCGGTGGGCTAGTACATCATCATCGTCTGGTACGTCCCCTCTTAAAACCACTTCCACCTCCATACTGACATTGGCAAGCTGCCCTCGGGCCTTTGAAAGCACCGTTACGAAGCCACCCCGTAAGAGATTCTGTCGGACAAAGGACAAAAAATCAATCGTCATTATGGGCATGGATAATGAGGGTATTTTTCCTGAAAGTAAAGTACTAGATGTTACTCCTCTCACCTGCAATGACAGTAGAAGGGGCTTGATTGATCTCACCGTCACGGATTCAGGTTCATCCCTCTTCTCTCCTATCTGGTACAGCAATGTAAGCTTGAACACCGATATGACGTCCGTCAGTGTCAGGACGTCACAGGACCCGATCTCCAAAGATGTCATTAGTAATCGTGTGACTCCATTAAATTCATGCTGCTTACTAGTCTTGGTGTCATGCCCACTCGTTCGTCGATTGTAGTACATACTGTGTGTCAGCATCTGACTGAGGACATTATCGGCGCCCTGCTTTAAAAGCGCCTCAAAACGACTGACCTGAGTTGGAGGAAGAAGGATGAAGGAGTCCGGGCAGCTCGACAGACCGGACGCGCAACCTCTCCCTGCTCTCCCCACCATCTGAATGTATGTGGTGCAGGATACGAAAACATCCCTTGTGACGTAAGGTATCTGTATCACTCTCATGGCAGGCAGATTTACGCCCATTGCGAGAGTACTTGTGCAAGTGATGACATTGATGATGCCCCTGGCATACGCACCCTCAATTGCTTTCCTTTCTGTTTCACTAAGCTCGGTGCTGTGGAAACCAATGCCACACTTGATCCCCCTTATGAGCTGAGAAGGCACTCTCCCCCTGCTCTCCTTTTTGAGGTGGCCAATAAGAAAGTCTCTCTGTCTCTTCACGGCATCTGTTGCAATGAGCTGCTCACTAGAGGCAAAAATACAGCTCATAAATTTGAGTCAAGCATACTTTGTAGACCAAATAAAAATGCAGCAGTGCACATTAAATTCATCAATACTCACGCGTAGACTTCAGTGTGGGCTTTCGTCAGCATGGCGCACAGCTGTACACATGATGCTTTTGTCCCGCAGAATACCAGGACTGGGTCATTTTTGGCAACTGCATCAAAGACGAGTCTCGCAATGACACGCCAGTCGTCCTCAACGAAAAAATCCAGATCAGGGCTCTTAAAGATGTCTCCATCGGGCACGATTAATTTTGCTGGCGCGTTAAAGTCCACAGTCCTTTGATTTGTGTTAGCATCCTTAGCAATCCTCAACGCGGATCCACCAACGACCATGTACTCCTCTACCTCCGCCGGCCGAACTGTGACGTGGAATATGTTGGCTCGACGAGTTGACCCAGCGCCCACAAACCGTCTGAGGTCCTGCTCGTTGCCGACTGTGGCGGACATCGCTACGAGTCTTGATTCACTGTCAGCCCAGTAGAGGAATGAGGTAACAAGCTCCTCCATGACGATGCCACGCATCCCCTGCTGGATCATATGAATCTCGTCGAAGACGAGAATGCCAATCTCTCTCTTACGGTCTCCGGTCTTGCAAAGAAGTTTCCATATTACATTAGCCTTCTCCGTCGTGGCCACATACAATGTTCTGAGGTGATTCTTGGTACTTGGAGGCGGAAAATGACCCTTTCTCCCAGCGTATTCCGCAACCATAAAGGTGCTTAGCTTCGTAGCCAATAATTTCAAATCCCGTACCTTCAATAACAAGAGAAAATGGTTAGAACAAACTACATATCCATTAGACACAAAGAATAAAAGTCGAATCTCATAACGAATGAAGAGGCATGTACTTTTTCAGCCACGATGGCTACAAAAGGGAGAGCCAGGATAGCATCTCTACCCTGCACAATGAGACACCTCAGCATCAGAATGACTGCCACCAGCGTCTTTCCCGATGAGGTAGGTGCAATAATCAGTGCATTCTGTAGAGCCCCACTCCCATTAATGTGGCTCTTGAGCATCTCCACCTGCCATTTACGCAGCTCTACAATACGAAACGTCTCGAACACTGCCCGGCGGACGTTCGCTCCCATCATGAAGAAATCATCGTCATCTATGACAGTAGCGAGGTCCTGCGGTTGCAAAGAGATATACATTAATGCGCGGGATGGATTCGTATGAGTCGGTTGATGCCAGCTCTTCTACTGGGCGCAATATATATCAGCTAGTGAATCATCCCCTTACAGGCTGTCGCTGTAGTTCAGTCTGAGCGACCAAAAACTGGCTCTCATCGCCACACAACTCAGCATAACGCGTCGCCGTCTCCACCACGCTGTCGTCCATCTGGAAAAGGTAAAAAAGGTGTGATGAGTCACCTCAGTATCACGTGCCATTGCAACATAAAAGGTCGTGCTATAGGAATGTAGCCCACCATGTGCTTCAACTCTTTCCTTCTCTGTTCCTTTCCATGAGCCTGAGACGTTTCTAATCTGCAAGCCGCCGCCGCGTGAAGGCTCGTTTCTGGAGTTGGTGGCGTGGTTGATCTCTCTAGGAAAAACGAAGGCAGGCAAATATATTAAAAAACGCTGTCTACAACCAACAACCCTTCTCACTTTTTGCACTATTCCTTAATGACGTGGAATCAAGTCACTGATATTACCAAAGTTGCTCTCAATCAAGTTCTTCTCGGTACGAACACCTTCCTTCATGAGGCACATGTCTGAATCCAGTCCTCTAGTTTCATCGTCATTTGGAGATTTCATTCCGCTCCCCTTTTCACCGCCGCATGTCTCCATATACTAAAAAAAAACAGTTTTTCAGCTTTAAAAAAACATTTAAAAAAAGAAGAAAGCACAAGTACTTCAAAAGGTCAGAAACGAACCTCAATTCCTTTTCCTGAATCTCCATCATCAGAAGAAAACTTCACCTCCGCACTGGTCTTCTGCTTTTTACGAGGAGACATGAGATCTGATAAACTCATCTCTGAATCGCAAGAACTATCATCAAGCCCACATCCATTTTCGACCTGCGTTGACCCATTCACAGTCTCCTGGGAATGGACCGAGGTGCTGGAGTCATCATCATCAGAGTGAAAGCTTCCCGTCTCCTGCTCCACATTCGAGCACATGTCAGACACCAGTCCGCCAGATTCACAAATCTCTGTAGGAAGCGTTTTGCCTTCACTGGCTACCCCGCATGTCTGCATACACAAAAAAAACAGTTTTTCAGTTTAAACGCAACACATAATAATAAAGAAGGAAAAGCTCAAAGGGTCGTGAATAAAATTCATTCTCCACTCCCAGAACTCTTTCATCAAAAGAACACTTCACCACTGCACTGGTCCTTTCTTTAATACGAGGTGTCAGGATATCACATACACTCACTTCTGAATCGCTGGACTCAATTTCTTCTTTGACATGCCCTGACAAAGTTTGAGTTAAAGATTGACTGATGGAGTTGTGGGTATCACCATCATCCGCTTGTGTACTGTCCGTCTCCTGATCAGAAATGCACTGCACCAACATCCTGATATTATCTGATCCCTGGTCCTCTTGTTTTGATGCGGTACCTAGTGTAAAGCCACATTTTTAAACAATCAGTCAGAGTAGTCATAGAGAAAAGGGATCAGTTTTCTTTAGAAAAGCTTACTCGAAGAGGAATGAGATTCAGTGAAAATTGAGTCCAACAGAGATTGACCGTCATTATCATCCTCGTCGCTTGACAATATCTCAATGACTTCAGTGATGTCCATCCTGTAACTCAAGGAAATCGCATCTCTGAACATGGCATTTATTGAAACTCATCTACTTGTGGGCATCAACAAACGAAAAGTTATCACCGACGTTTACAAAAATGGCCCTCTTTTTCTTTTTCCAGAATGATATCCTATGTCATATCGTAGAAACCACACCATTTCCACATATGCATGATTCCAACTTAAAAAAGATGCCTTTGAGCGGAAGAACAAGTATGAGTTACTGGCACACAAATGGAATTTGTCTCAACCTGGTTAAACTAGTGCTACTTATGAGTGCAGAGTAACGTAAGGAAGTTAGTCTGAAAATTCTGTCAGCCTGAGAAGCACCCTAACCTTCGAAACCATAATGGTACTACCTTAAACGTCGTCACCTTGCAGTGG